GGAGGGGTGTCAGTTTGAAGGGTTATTTCAAGCTCTATTCGTTTTTTTTTTTTTTGCATTGCATCGATAGAAATACTGATATGAGGTAAACAAAATGATATGAACCTTAACAAACACACATGATGAAGAATTAGACCATATATTCACGTCAAAGTACTCAGATTTTAAATCCTATTTCATGTTTAGAAGTAAAGTTTTTGCCTTTTGTCTTGCCCTTGTTTAAGTAATTGGTCTTTTGCTATTTAAAGAGTTAACCCGTCTTGCTGCTTGTTTTTTTTTTTTTTTTTTGTATTTGTTATCGAGAGTCAGGCATCCTCCAGAGACGGGAGTCCCCAAACCAGGTTATCATGCAAACTTAAGAATACAAACCTAACCTTTCTGGCTGTGTGAGGGTGTTGTAGACTCTGTATGGTAATATGCAGCGGATATTTTCGTCATTTCGTGGTAAATCTGAGGCCGGAGCAGCTGTACCTGGGCTGTGTTAATGTAGTTTTATGATCTATAAGATGGCAGTGTCCATTTTCCTGTGCATCGCTCGCGGTAACATGGTCCTTGATGTCTTTCTTCGCCTGCCCTGGTTATTTGCCGTATCAGCTCTGGCCATTACAGGCAAAGTTTACATTAGGGCATAAGGCTGTGTGAAACTCGGACCATATTGCAGGGAGCTTTGAAGATTTTGTCAATATGTAGAAGAGGGCAGTGGGTTACTTTCGGTTACTTGGCGTAAAACAGGATCCCCGTGGTTGTTAAACAAAACGTCCTAACCTAACATCCAACCTAACCTAACACCGTTGTATATATTCCCTAGACAGGGGGCTCTGCCCTCTGGACCCCCGTGGTAATATATATGCCTAGCCAGGGGGCTACGCCCCCTGGACCCCCGTGGTAGTATATGTGTCTAGAATTCACCCTCGCAATGTTAACAAGATGAGCGACATAGCCACAATTGGAGGATCTTCTCTCTTCTTTTACGTATAGCACACTTGGGAAGCATTTGCACACACATTGCCATAGAAGTTTGTATTGTTCTACCATTTCATGTAAGTTTTATTACCCAACTCTGCCACTACCTTGTGCTACATATTGTCCCGACCCTCAGTCACTGCCAGTATCATAACAACTGCTAGGTTTTATCAAATAGACAGACGAAGTACAGCATGCCATCAACAGCATAGGTGCCGTACCCATGCTCCATGGACAGACGGTCACATAAAAAAGGTGATTTACAAAGCTCTAAAAATATAGTTGATTGTATTCTTTTGGCTGAATGTAAGAAACAAAATGTGCACAAACAAATCCCTTTAAAAGCAGGTTTTGTGAATGTAAACAAAACTAGATCGAAATTTGGGAAAATTTTCCGCGCATGTCAACCAATCGTACAGTAAAATAAGTGTATGGAATGGATACCTTGACGAAAAGTAAGACACTTTTCATCTATGGCAAAAACTGCGCAAATCTAAAATAAGGGAGATATAGGACAGAGAAGAGAGAAACTCGACCCTTCATTTTCTAAGTCCCCTTCCATGTTTACCTTGCGAGATCAAAACAATTGTGACGCGTAACTCATTACTGCGATCCAGCAAGTAGTCCATGTATTGCTACGCGCTTGTGAGAACGCTTATTTTGTCATTACTAGCGTCTGATTCTCTGAATTCATGTATGTAATGCATTCTTCTAGTTTTAATATACTTCTCTTGCGTCTTTTGGTAATTTTTTACGTTATTCTGTACAATAACCTTTTGCGCATGCGCGTTTTCACCGGGAGATTTGACAGGTCGACCCACCGCCATTCGCTCAGAAACACCGGTGAAAAATGTTTCATTTCAAGTGCTGTGTCGACATCGGGTTATTTTTAAAACTATATTGTGGATATACAGGACAAATAGACATTATTCTCAATCACAAGCCTGATATTTGAGCCCAACAAGTGCCCCAAATGCCGAAAAAAGTGATTAGAAACCAAGCTATTCTGACCATGGACGG